TGGCATCTATACAAGAGGCGTTGGAGAGTGGGGGAGTGCCGGGGGGCAGGAAGGAAGTAGCTAAACCCCCTTATGCCGCACATCCGGGTATGTGCAGGATGAAAAATCCGGTTACAAGGAGGCCTTCTCCCTGACCGAAGGCTTGCCGCTCGACCACTCCCCCCTTCCGGGCCGCGAAGAGGAAGAAGGTGGGCCCCTCGATTTCGATCCCTCCCTCATATTCATTTTCCCCCCTATTTGCCCGCTCTATTTGCTCGCTGTCTTCTGTTTCCTTCACATCGCTTTCTCCATCGCCGCCTTTCCTTTTCTTTTCAGACCTTCCCCTGGTTCGGCACGGGTGCACTAGCGACGTGAGAGACTTGCTGTGGGCGACGACGCGGCAGCACGTGCCTTCCGATGAGAAGGAGCTGAGGGCACGCCTGCAGGAGGCCGCCTTAGGGGTAAGGAGCAAAGGGGAGGTCGGCGGGAAGGAAGAGAAAGAGGGAAAGGGGGAGAGATGGCCTTGCGCGGTGTTGCAATGTCTTTTCAAGGCTGTCGAAAATGGGGAAGCGAGATCATCACGGCCCTGATGTTCGAGAACTCCATCCCTCCCTCGCCCTCTATCGCTCCATCAGACGCATCAATCGGGACCCCGACGGCCCAAGATGAGCGCCGCCGTATTGAAGAGCCAGGCCAACAAAAAGCGTAAACTCGTGCGTGCCTCTGTCATAAATTCCCACATTTGCTTTTTTTGAATTTTTTGTGAGACTTCTCTCCATCGGCTCGGGTTCTCTTACTTGTACTGCGTGCTGGACCTGGGAGTTCCCGTTCCCCGCCATTGAAAGACATTGCCTGCAGGCACAAGGGCCTATCGTATTAGACACGATCATTGACGGTATCCCTGTACAGTTTGGGAGCCCATGGTGCAGTTTTGAATTGTTATGGCATTGCAAGCATTTGTTATGTGCTTACTGTGTCGTCATGTTCTTGAAGGAGTAGCTGCTCGCTAAAATCCGAGTACATGTGATTTTGAAAATTCCTTTTGGTCTGTGAATCCGTCACTTCTCAACACATACATTCAGCTCGTGAGCTTCCATGTGGTCCATTGCTCATTTCCTTTTTTAATCCTCCTTCAGGACAAAGAAGCGGCATGGCGGGATGATATCAGAGCCAAGGCCGCAGCCATCCAAGCGATGCAGCAGCAGGCCAAGAAAAGAAAGAAATAAGTGTATTTGTACTCAAATTATTATTACTTTTTTCTCCTTCAAGATAAGTTCTAGTCAATTTGCCCCGGCGTTGCTATGAATGATCGGTCTTCATGTCATCGTTGGGGGAAAAGTCAAAGAGAACACTGACTTACGGCTTTGCTTCCCGTACCGTGACGAGCAAGACTAGATCATTGGATCGAATTTCTGGCAAGCACCTCTCAGGATACATGGTGACTTCATAAACATTGATACCCGAATACAATAACTGAATATATTTCGTATACGTGTCTCAAAACAAATTACTTGTTTTTGGGGTGCTTGGTCGCGAACCCACTCCACCCTGTTGAAGATGACGCCATCAGCCGTTTACGAGGATTCTTTGTTTTCCTCCACGCCCTACAGAGAGCTTCGTGAGAACAAGAGGGTTTCTCGAGTACAAATTCGCCCTTGCCGCATCCAGTCCTACATCATTATACCTCTCACACTTTGTCTTTTCTGGCTTCGTCGACGAGGACATGGTTTACTTTGATCAATGCGCGCTATTTTTTCCTCACCCGTACTTGTCGGTCCCTTTCGCCGCTTTCGGGCGGTCAATTTACCCTCGCGCTCTTCGCAAAACGTCATCGTCGTCATCCACCTTCCCCGGAGTCCCCCTAGGACCCAATCTAAATATGCCTCATGGCATGTAATTCAAGTGATCCTGTAAAATAATTTGCTTACGCTTTTCACCCATCGTACTCATTAATGTAGGCCAATCGCCACATTAAGAGGCGTGGCGAAATCTCTTCCACAGGTCATGATTTATTTCTCCAGGTACGCTTACTTGTAGAGAAACTATCCCAGGCATCGAAATCTCATATCATTTCAAATTTCACATGTCACTGCGTCTCCTACCTACTTCATGGACACGTGACGCGTGCAGAACTTCAAAAGGGGTGTTGGTCCCCCTCGTCCTAGCCCTACTCGTGGCATGCACTCATGCCATGGAAGTGGCCACTTCTCCTGAAGAAATGGGTGCGTTTTGCATTGTATCACCTCTCCCTCCTTCCTCCTGTGCCCATGCTGGATCCATCCGTTCGCTTCTCTTCTTGGGTTCTTCTTGGTGGGGCGTACCAGTGAGGACGCTCTCTCGCAACCTTTGCGCCCATCCCCGCGCATTCTACACATGGAATCGCTCGGGATCTCGGGCTTGCCTGGTCACATGCCTCCTCTTCCCTTCCCCTCGCCCTCCCAGGCATGTCCTCTGCGCGGCTCAACCAGATCACGCAGGAGCTGCAAAAGCTCGTGGATGACGGCGACCTTCCCGGCGCTGCTTTCATGGTCACGCGGGGAGGGAAATACGTGTACCACGGAGAGGTAGGGCGCAAGAATGAGGCGAGGAAGGATACGAAGGGAGGGAGAAAGGGAAAGGGGACGGGCAT